CAACCGACATGACACCATTAACACACAGGCATCCAACGGCCGATGGCCGCGATTACGCCCGTGCCGACAGGCATTTAGCATAAATAATGCAGGAATGTAAAGAGACCGGAAGTCATGCTTTCCGGCCCCGATTCGAACCCATGTGAGATATACAACACCGGACATGATAGCACGCGCTTCGAACACTGCGTTCGGATGTCTGCCATGCAGACGCTGATGGAATTTGTGTCGAATTTTGGCCAGCCGGTGTGGTAATCTTTTCGGGTTGTTATTTGTAAAAAATCAGCAATTGTAATGTGCTATGCACTTGTGTTTGTGTGCGTTCTTTCTGGAGCATGTTGAAAAGCATGTAAGTAAATAGATGAAACAGAAGAAAAATATTGTTCAACATACTGAGAATATTCGATGTTTCCAGGCAGTGCTCACGAACACGAGTTCCCACCATGCCTGAACACGAGGGGGCTGAAGTCCTCGCCTGCTCATATCAAGGTGAGTACTCAACCAGACGGGATGGGTACTCATCGATGGCGTTTTTCGGCAAGCACTGATCTTCCGGGTCATATCAGAGAAGCCGTATGTCAAAGCTGACCCCACACAAATGTGCTCACCTCACCTCACCTCACCTCACCTCACCTCACCTCACCTCACCTCACCACACCACACCATTGCTGCGTGGTTTATGGATGACGATTCTACTGGTCAATGGCTTATCGATAAATTAAAACTGGAGTCATCGCTGACAAGAGACTGAAAATACAGGCCACGCCAACTATTCCATGAAAAGTCGATCACATGATATCGGTGCATTATCGCTCACAGAAAACGTGCAAGTCACATGGCCTAGCGGCGTATAGAATAGAGGCAGGCGATGACCAGTTAGAAAGCCACGAACCGTGACCAGGGATTCGCATTGTGACCGGATTGCGGCATTGATGTCCGCAAGTGATAATCACAAAAGCACCTCGCTCATTGTGGTGTAATGGATATCGTCAGGTCATCCCTGGTCATCCCACGCCATCCCAAGGTGATACAAGGTCATCCCTGCACCGATGTCCGACAGCGACTGGCCAGATTTTCCACTTATGGAATACGCAATAGATACATGCGTGCGAAAGCGTTAATAATGTATTTAGTCGATAATCATGCGCATGAGATGGGTCGAAACAACTCATATAGTCGACAATAATGCGTACATAAGTCAATGATAATACAAGGCTGTATGTTTTTTCCAGCAACGCTATTAAGGCGCCATTAGACTTGTGGAACATGCGTGCTTGACGATCCTTTTAAATATGGTATCCGTTTATGAACAACAACGTTTTTAGTTGCGTAGATCTGTTGACATTGTTTGCGTTAGCTGCCTTTTGTTGCCGAGATACGTATTCCTTATCAAACCCTGCCTCACCTGCGTTTAACACTTTAAGTATATTTTCCCCAACAGAGCAGAACGGCATTGATGTACAACACGGACGAAGTTACCAACTGGCAAATCATAATTACTCGTTCGGAACACGAATGGCCGCGCCATTTGACATCCAGCTGACACTAAAGTGCTGAATTACACGGAAGTGATTCCGCCCACATGAAAGTTGAGCCTAGATAAGAAATTCATGGGCCGCAATATGCCATCTAAACATTCCAGGATTTTTAGGACGCAATTTCATAAATAGCTCTAAGCGAACATCAATAGCTGCCCAATCCAAAGCACATCGAACCGCACACAAAGGCGTATAACTCAGCTTAAAATGATTGATGACAGCGGCCCCAGCCCCGGATGGATGGTTTATGGTTCGTTAAGGCTCAGACGCATTGCGTTTTAAACAACGCCCAGCGGCGCCGAAAGCGTGGGTGAAAGTGGTTCTCACACAGTGTCATGTATTCCGGAAGCATCGAGTCGGTGGATTGGGAACCATGCAACATTTAGGACGATCAGAAAAACTACCAACGAAGCGTGGTAAAAAAGGAACTAAATGGAGCAGCAACGATTCGGTAGAATTACAGGCGTGGTCTATCACAACCGCGGAGAATGCGATGCCAGGATTTTCATAAGAAGTTCAAAAATCTAAAAGTCAGGTGAGCATGCACTCACCGCATCTTCGAAGACGCATTCGCTTTTCTTTACACGAAAAAATGCCACTAGCTGGAATGCCACTGTGATTTTTGCATTATTGAATTTGGACTTGCAGTTTAGTTTAGTTTGTAGTCTTATTTGCGTGTATGATCAGCAACCAACATCGCCATCACGTTACAATATACTAAATCAGAGCGCCGAATCATGTCAAAACTTGGAACGGAATCGTACAGAGCAGCTCAAGATGCAAACACATATCACTTAACTTACATAGCGTGTATTCCAATTAAGTCACTGAGTGGTGGAGAAGGCCACAAACCATTGACCGCCCAACCAAAAATATGTCATGTTAGTGATATAGGATAGATACGTTCCACGTTTCAAAGCGCCAGTGACCGCCGACTTGAGCACCGACGCAACCAGCTGCGATGAGCCATGTGAAGGACTCCCTATTCTAGCCATGCATTAGACGGGTATTGGAAGAAGTGGTGGGATAGAAGTAGACGGCTAGCTAACTGATGGACCCCATAATGATGGCTACGTAACAGTTGGGCCAATATCAGTCATTTGATCACACAAAGTAGTTGGTGGAATTTCGGTTCAGGCTGTAGCCGCAAGAGAGGACACCTGGTGGGGTTGAACGGCGTGGCAGAACATTAAGGGACTGTATAACGGTACCGCTGCGTAACGACATTGCTGCGTAATGGCATTGTTGTGTAATGGCATTGCCGCATAATGGCATTCCTGCGTAACGCGTTGCGGCAAGACTGCCAGCAGTCACAATGCAAGCGTAGCTGAAGCAGTTTTCTAGCATTTATAGTGAAAAATGATCGCTGAAAAACATGGCAACACTGAAAAGATAAACGATGCATTACGAATGAAAAACTAGATGATGTGTTGGAAAATTGAGAAGTGGTAACATGGAAACAACAAAACAAACGTGTAACGCTGGTTGGAAACGGAAGCGACGCTCGTCCCGGCGCCAAAGTCACACTGTCGGCACCGGCGCTGCTGAACTGACCTGCTTCGCCTCGCGTTCCGCCAGCGATGACCTGCCGGGCAGGTAGTCCTCGATGCGACCCGGCTGGTTACGGTACAGCGGGCCGACGCGGCGCTGACGTCACGCCGAAGCTGTAACCACATGAGCCCCGCTGGTTACTGGGAGGCCGCAACGGCTAGTTACTGAGGGAGATGCTTCGGCTGGTTACCGGGGAAACCGCAACGACTGGTTACAGGGGAAGCCGCAACGGCTGGTTACTGGGGAAGTTAGATGCTGAAACCAGTAAAACACATCTGGTTCCACCGCAAATGACGACCTGGCTGGTTCCAGCACAAAGGATTGTGTCACTGGTTCCAGTACAAGGGATGGTGACACTGGTTCCAATACAAAGGCCGGTGTCACTGGTTCCAGCACAAGGGATGGTGTCACTGGTTCCAGTACATATGATGGTTTTACGCTTCGCCGTAAACGGAACACACATATGCTGCGTTAACTGAGCAGGGATATTGATGATGATGATGGTATAAGGTCGCGGCCGCCAACCGCCACTGTTCATATGACGTCACGGTTCTGGACCCACAGAAGTGCGGCTGGTTATCGACAGAGACGACGATACGGCCAGTTAAATGCACTGCCAGTCATATGTAAAGGAGATGAACTGGAGGCGCACAAACTGTGGAAGCGATCCGGACGGTAGTCTCTTCATCAGAACTTCGCCAAAGACCGCGAGCTCAGGTGACTATTACATGTATCGGTGCACGACACGGCGCGACGAGATTTGGGCCCAACTGTAATTCAGTCAACCGGATGTGAGGGTAGTGTCCGGGTTCTGCACACGGATGGTTCCCTTTCACCCACAGTGGGTTTAAGACGCACAACATTTCATGTTGCTCACATGGGCAAACTCCCGACATGCCAGCCCTCCCCGTCACTCGCTCAGCGTAACCAACGCTAGAGCACGTTGTATGGGCACTCGGAACCAGGCGGCAAAGGAAGAAAGAAACAAACGCTCACTGCTAGTGCGACGTCTCTTTTTTAAATGAAAAGACATAAAACTTGACACGGATAACCTGGCACGAAATGTTATGCAATCATGCAATGATCATGTCACTAAAATATGTTCGACCCTTGCGGTATAACATAATTATAAAGTAACCCACTCAAGCAGCCCCAGACCTTCAGCGGGGTACATCAATCTCCTTAAAATGATCCATAAAACCATCTAAAACTGAAAATTCAAGGAAACCCTGAGTCAACCTCAGGTCAAACCCTGAGTCAAACCTGAGTCACAAAGTGCCGTGGGAACTGGACGAGGGTGGTACGCAGGTTTTACAGCAGGGAGGGGCACCACTACAAAAACTGTCATTGAAAACTGAGTTAAGCGCGCCACAGGCACGCGAGATTTTTTGCACGTCGTCAAACAGCGTAACGTGTTTGTGATATTCTCATTTTACGTGTCCATCTAAAATAAGTTTGAACTCCCAATATTGAGTGATGTACGTAATCCACTCCCGCCTTAAATAATCACGTCATGCATGCCGTAAAGTCAGTAAGGGAGGGGCACGAGCGTCCGGCATGAAGGTGCGTCGCTGCCTGCATATCTACAGAAGACAACGTGCCCACGGCTGCTCCAAATTCCGCCGTACCACATTCCATCGCGTTCACTTCTTACCTCTGAGAGATTGGAAGACACCGGCTGCGGGGAACCCAGCCCGCCTGACAGCCAGCACAGACCGCTCACCAGCACGGCGGCCAGCACAGACCGCTCACAAGCACGGCGGCCAGCACAGACCGTTCACCAGCACGGCGGCCAGCACAGACCGTTCACCAGCACAGCGGCCAGCACAGACCGCTCACCAGCACGGCGGCCAGCACAGACCGTTCACCAGCACGGCGGCCGCCAAGCTGCCGGCGGCGGCGCGGCGCCATGTCTGTCCGTACGGGCCAGTGTTTCTGTCCCCACTGGACACGTGCCGTGGCTGTCCTGCCTCCGAACGCCCACACTTCACCATCGATTGCCGCCGGCGACTCGGTCAATAGTACATGACACCGGGGCCTCCAGCTGGTCGGGGTGCGCTGGAAATGGCGCCCGAGGGTTCAAGGGGTCACCGGGGTCAGCCGGGGAAGAGTGGGGTCACGGGGAGTTGCGTGAAGGTCAAGGACGGAGCCAGCCGTGACGTACGGTGGCGGTTTGACGCTCGTGATTTGTGATCAGCTGGGGTCTGGTTTGCGTGAGGCAATGCTCACCAACGAATCGAGTGCTCAGAAACCGTGTACAGTGATACTAATGTGCGAATTGAGTACTCAGAAACCGTGTGCAGCGATAATAATTTGCGAATTGAGTACTCAGAAACCGTGTGCCACGATAATAATTTCCCGAAGAGCAGAGGCCTAGTTTCGCAACATGAGTTGGGGGGTCCTGAGTAGTGAACAATCATAAAGCATTCCTCCAAAATGCGTCAACAAACGGGTTTCACCCCTGCTTTGGTCCACTTTCTTCTTAGAGTTTGGGGGGTTGGAGTAAAACACAGAGGTGATGGAGTCTTCCCCAACCTAATATAAAACCACACCCCTGCCCTAGACAAACTGAGTTCTTATTCGACAATGATCACCCAATCGTTTTTAATCATCTTGCGTGACAGCCAGCGGGGACAGTTTGTTGGTTCCGCTGGATTTGTTAACTCGTTGTTTTCGTTCAGAACTATTGTCATCGCGTTTGGTCGCGTTAACGGGAAATGACAACGACGACAGGCTATTAAATCCGTGCCAACCCTTCATAAACACGTGAGCGACAAGGCCTGCAGCATGCAATCAAGACGTAGACCCATTCACCAATATGGGCCTATTACGGTATACTACTACACACTACTACACTCTTGGTAGAATATAGGTCTACTACGGGCTTTCCACCAAGATTGTAGTTTTTGTGCGTAAAATGATCAAGGCAGTCGAAGCGCTTCTAAGCCTAAATATAATCATCATCGGGCGTAGTTTTCTACTGAGTCAGTGACTCCAGCCCTCCTTTCCCAACTTTGAGAAAAAGATGAGTCAAGTTCGGGAAAGCACGCTTGTTGTGTATTTTAGAAGCACGTCTAGCAATTCCCCGTGTCCCCCCCCCCCCCAGTTTAATTTACGAAACTACCATCCAGCCTACCACAGACCCATTCAGACCATAACGGCCCATCTACTCACTCCGCGTCCGGCTGGTCCCTGCCGCCGAAGGCCGCGCGCCGGCCCGTGTCCGAGGCGTACCCCGCCTCCGGCTCGCTCGCGTATCCACCGCCCTGGTAGTTGTACCGACCTGTCGGCGGGTCAGGGTCATCAGCGGCGGCCAGCGGCGCCCGGCGCAGCCGGCGGCCGGCGGCGGCTCTCTCGGAACGTTTGGTCAATACGGCTCGGTCCAGTTTCGGCGGGCGCAAAGCCGACGCGGTACAGTCGTCTGCTGAATAGGTGGCGGCAGTTCGCACGTGATCGTGTCGAACGGTTCCGAAGTGTCCTGAGGCCGGACCGCCCACTCAAGTAATGGGTTCAGGCGTCAGCCCTCCCCCCTCCCCTCCTCACCCACCCCAGTCCAGCCCAGCCCAGTCGGGTGTTTTGTCGGGGGTGGGGTCGGCGCTGAACGGCGCTAGCCCCTCCCCCTTCGCATTATGACGAATCGATGACGACAGGAAGCTCGCCAGGGACCGGGCGTCCGGTCACGTGATCAAAACAAGCCGGCTGGGTCGCTCCAGTCCACAGGTCATCGCAGTCCACTACAGTGTATACACTACATCGCAGTCCACTGCAAGTGAAATCACGCTGTCGGAGCGGGATCTACCCCGGAGGTGGTGCGATTGGTTCCCTTCTGGCTCGGCCAGCTTGCCGATTGGCGTCAGCTTGGACTGTGCAGGGTTTCGGCCCAGTCCATTGCGGGTCAATTTGAGGTTGGTTCGGAGATCATTAATACACCGATCTCACGTGTGGAAGCTGGGACGCTGGAAGTTTCGGCTCTGCTTCCTCGACCAGCGTTTGTACTTCATGCGCCTCATTACCCGGGCCGTCAGTTGACGCGTCAAGCCTCATTACCTTGATGCTTTCATCGTCAACGTCAGGCCCCAGCGCATTGATGCGTTCAGTTCGTGAGCCCGACTCCCCGTGGGTTCGTGAGCCCGACTCCCCGTGGGTCCGTGAGCCCGACTCCCCGTGGGTCCGTGAGCCCGACTCCCCGTGGGTCCGTGAGCCCGTTAATCAGGCACCCAAGAGCTCACGACTATGGGTGATAAAAGAGTACCTTGAGAACTTCACTCGCCCATGCGTTGGGCTATTTCGTTGGTAAATTTAGTTTGTGAACCGCAGCTGGGTTCAACTGCTGCGATCCAGTTCGCAGTCGGCGTTATATATGACCCTTAAATACGTAACCTTGTTGAGTTCGAACGGCCCACTACGGGATAAATCGATCAGCGGACCCGGCGCCGTCCCGTGATGGCTCGCACTTCTGCGGAGCATCGGGGTCCGTCGCCAGGTCAGTGCCCTCTCGCCGAGGTCGCGACCCCATCTCCGCGGAGTGGTGCCCAGCCTCTGTGCCGCCCAGCGCCGCCACGTGGCACGTGCCGGAGCACTTATGACGTTACTAAGCGACAATCGTAGCGGTCGGCTGTAACCGTGTCATGCCGCCGATTCCATTACGCCTGGTCGGAGATTTGGTGCAGTTCGACCCTGCCGCGAGCGGTGGCCATTACTCGACGTCACAAGCGTGCGTGCTTGTGACTAGTCTTCCCAAAATACGCGTAGAAGCTGTCGAGTCTCAGCGAAGTGCATGCAGATAAATGGGTGCGTTCCCAAAGCTGGTCTGGCTTCTCAAAACACTGGCGGATGTTCTAGCACCACACTCGGTGGATCTAGCCGTCTGCACTGCGGCACGTGACGCTCGTGTGCGCGATACCAGCTGTTACGTGACACTCTGGTCTCTTCGTGACATTCTCACAGTCCAGCTTCTCTCAACAGGTCTTTGAAAGCACACAAGTCGGTGTCCACAATAAACATCCCGTGTTCGAAACAATACTTTTTACGCACCACACAGCTGGCTATTTATTTCTCACAGCGGAGTCAAGTCTGTCCGCACCGCACTGCAGTACGTCCGTGTCATACAGCAGCCAGTCAGTGTCACACAGGAGTCTGTCCGCGCCACACAGCAATCTGTCCGCGCCATTCCATAGTCTGTCCGCGCCACATAGCAGTCTGTCCGCGCCACATAGCAGTCTGTCCGCGCCATTCCACAGTCTGTCCGCGCCATTCCACAGCCTGTCCGTGCCACACAGCAGTCTGTCCGCGCCACACAGCAGCCGCTCCTGTCCGGGGCGCGCCTGCTGCCGAGCACTTCCTGCGTGGCCGCGCCACTGACCTGCTGGGCGGGGAGGGGAGGACGGCAGGCGGGCCGGGCACGTCCGGTCCGGGCGACACCCCGGCTACCACTGCCCGTCAGACCGGCGCGGCCCGCTCCGCCGTCCTGGCGCACAGGCGGCGCCACGCGGCCGCCAGAGGTCTGTGGCGGAGGTGCGTGACGATGTGAAGGCGGAGGAGGAGGGAAATTAGAAGGTTATGGGGTGAGGGTAGAAGCGTGAACTTGAAATGGGGAGGACTCCTCAGAAAACGGTGGTTTGGTGATGTCATTTTAGTGCTCTCCGAAATATCGACCATATTGCTGTGCGCCCCCCCCCCCCCCCTATTACCCATCCCAGTCTTGGAATTGTATAAAACTCCTACGCGCGGGTACAATATGAGCTAGTTGTTATGGAGGAGAATGGGAGAACTGCCGCCATAAGAGACAGCAATGATAACAAAATAATGGTGTCTCTGCGTGCGTGCCTAAATTACGGGACTGCTTATGCAACTCAGCGACTCTGCGCTGCAGGGAATCATTGTCCGCCAAAAGTTTTCAAAAAGTTGTTCAAACGTCTGTGAAAGGATTTCAACGTACATATAGTACGTACGTACATATCGACAGTATCCATAGCCTTATTCCTCGTAGAATAACTAAGAGAATGGAGAGGTATATGTGATATTGTGGCTACATGCTCTTATGAAACAAATGCTAGTTGCAACGTCGGAAGTAATTTACTACTGTCGATGTAAAAGTTGGACAAACATCGGGAGTTCAAGCCATCCGAAGAGGCAGTAAATACCATCCATGCAATGTTATCAGTGATGTTATCAGAACATTTGATGTCAAGGTCACTAGACCCTATGGGTGTCCCCGCCCACGCACCCTCTACTCATTTCGCACCTGAGCGAGCACCGGTAGGAGCTAATTCTCGCCCCTTGCCATCCGCCTGACCCCCCAGGACACCTGGCCGCGTCCTTCAGCGCCGTTCTGTTGCGTCGGTTAGGGGAGGGGAGCGACAGCTCAGGATTTCAGGGCGATGGAGATATGGCGGGCACATGTCGCAGCTGTTGACAGAAGAAGGAGGAGGGAAGAGGAGGAGGAGGAGAAGGAGGAGGGGGAGGATGATGAGGAGGACCAGGAGGAGGAGGAGGTAGATGAGGCAGAGGAGGAGGGAGGAGGAGGAGGAGGGGGAGGAGGATGAGGAGGACCAGGAGGAGGAGGAGGAAGATGAGGCAGAGGAGGAAGGAGGAGGGGGATGAGAAAGAGGAGAAGGAGAGGAAGAGGAGGAGGAAGGGGAGGAGGAGGAGGAGGAGGAGGAGGAGGAGGAGGAGGAGGAGGAGGAGGAGGAGGAGGAGGAGGAGGAGGAGGATTATCAGGAGAAACAGGAAGAGGGGGAGGAGGAGGAGGAGGAGGAGGAGGAGGAGGAGGATTATCAGGAGAAACAGGAAGAGGGGGAGGAGGAGGAGGAGGAGGAGGAATATCAGGAGGAGCAGGAAGAGGGGGGGAGGAGGAGGAGGAGGAGGGGGGAGCGAGATTCATCGCGGGGACATAAGCGGTGACAGCCGCGGCGGGTACAACCTCCTGCCCTGCCGTCCGTGGCGCTCCAGCACGTCTAGCATCCCACCCAGCCGCAGCGCGCGGCGGGCAGCGCCAGCTCGCGCCGCGTCTATCAGGCGACGGCGTCAGCCCGTGAGTGGTGAGCCGCTGGTGGACGGCCAGCAAGACCAGCTGGAGCCGGCTTAACCCGCACCACGCACCAGGGCGAGGCGAACCGTCCGCACCGAACACCGGATGGGGCTGAGCAACCAGCACCCGTCCATCGCTTGGAGGTGAGGATGCGGCGCTGGCTGACGTGAGGGACGCTGCGAAAGGGCTTTGGCTTCGGCGGAAGCGCCGGAAACTCGTAGTAAAGAAGACAGACGGACATCCCCAAGGCTCCGCGCAGGCTGAATGAGGCGTCGTAAGGCCGCCATATGACACGTGAGTGACACGTGTTACGTGACCCTAACTTACTGTGCAGCAGCACAGCAAGTTTAAGGCCCAGATAAAGGCCCAGATAACATAAACGCGAGTTTAGAGCGACTCCTCCTGGGGCTGGCCACGCATGACTTTAATGTTACCCGACAGAATCCATTGGCTGTCCATTGGTCTGGACAAGAGCTGACTTGACGGCAATGCCATCATTCTTGACACAGCCGGCTAAGCAATGGCGTGTCAACTTAAAAGATGACAGATAGGATGCTCGGGAAGCTGTGAAACTTTCGGAACCGGAGATGAATGTTGAAAGGCGTGGATCATTGACATGTCGCATTCCTTGAACGGGTAATGCAAACTTGAAAGGCGCTTAAAAAGGAAATTGGTGGCCTGAAACTGATTCTTCTACGAACACCCTCAAAACAGTTGTCCTACGGCTGCCCGCCATGCCAGCACGTGCCTTCCCTGACGTCAGACTTGCCCAAAGCTGTCTTATCTGGGCGTTGTTCACGTCCGTGAGACCGACTGACGAACGCTCATCTGTCAGGTCAGACTTGGGTCATAGGTCACTCTGTTAGGTCAGACTCGGGTCACGGATCATTTTTCGGGTCAACGTCGCTCTGGGTCCGGTCGTTGTTATCGTCGTCAGTCTCGTTAGACTGCGTGGTGGGACAATCATTAGCATGATATGATCAAAACACATACAAATTACCAAGCGAAACGCTAAATGGAAGTGACGGGCGACAAAAACGCGCGTGAACAGGTCGCTGATCGGTGCTGGTGGTCCCAAAAAGCGTGACAGCGTCCAATCATGAGTCATCACGAGAACAGACACATCAGAGCACACGCTCGGCTCCTCCAAGCCGTGCCAAAAGCTCAAACGACGCGGAGCCAGTCGCGCCCTTCACCATCCCTGGCAGAGCGCACCAGAGCAGCGCCGGCGCCGGCGGGCGCGCGGGGGCGCGGCGATTGTCGTACCAACCAAGTCGTCACGCTCGAGGGCGCTCGCGCACGAGACGCGACAGAGGTGAGCGGCCGGCGCCGCAAACACGCCCACCGCCGGCAGCGAGCGACGGCCGTGTTTGGGCGGAGGTGCGCACGCCGACAGACACGCACACGGCGTCACGAGGGGCAGGGGCAGGATAGAGCAGTCAGGTCGAGCGAAGCACGGTACCCCATGCATGGCAAGCAGCGGAGGCGCAGGGGCGCAGCGGCGCAGCCAGGAGAAGGAAAGGGGCCTTCCCTTTAGGCTCGCATTTTGGTATTAATTCAGCATAGATGGCTCCCGACAACAATGTAAAAATCGGCGTGATGCGTTCTCATGCATGCATGCATGCGTTCGTGACCGAAGCTTGCTTCCCCCGGAGAAAACGCTGGCTGCGTCCCTGGTAGGACGTCGCGGTGGTGAAAGACGTTGGAAATCGGGAAAGAGGATGAACGAAAAATCAAGAAGACAGAGATGTGATAGCCGTGCTTGAAAACACATAAATTAGAAACGGTATGAACTTACATAAAAAGTCCAGAAAAATCTGCTTTTGATGTTAAAAAACAAGCAGCGCCAGACAAATATAAAAGGAAATGCGTCAGAAATAGCAAGAGTGAGCATTAGAACACAACCGAAAGTTTCCTTCAACATCAATAAAACAGCAACGCCCAAAAGCGTTCGAAATTTTGTTAGTTTCGCAAAATGCAGCGATGGGGAAAACGCCAAAGTGGACAGACGCGTGATTGCATCAGCTGGACGAGCACAGATTACCTTTAGTTTTGTACAGAACCCGGACACCGTCTGAAACGTAGATGATCATCCGCGTTATCGGTTTCGAAAACATTCCCGATCTGTGCGGAGGACTTTGAGCTGGAACCTACTGAATATGCCGCCAACACGTATGGACCAATCAGCGGGCAGCAATATCACAGAACGAGATGACTGACCCTGCATGCCACGACAGTAATGATTTAACAGGCTTCTACTGAGCAGAGCGCAGCAGAACTAAGCAGGCAGCTGAGTGAGCTCCGGAGGTCATTTTCCAGCACCTCGCCCTCCCACGGGAACATCAGGACAGCGGGCGTTTGGACAGAACAACGCTGCATTAGCACGCACCCCACCGCCGCACAATACCACTGTGCGTAAATTGCAGGCTGCGCCTCCGTGTCGGCGGCCTGGATATGGCAGCACGGGCGCCATCAGCGACCTTGAGCCGCGCCGACAACGCCCTCTATTGACGACACCGCGAAACAATAGCGCGCCGGCCGTTTTGTGGCGTCCGATTTTTTCACTGGTAACGCGCGTGCGCCGGTCCTTTGGCGGTGCGTCACGGCATGACAGGGGCGCGCCCAGGCGCAACCTGGCCGGGCGCCGCAGGGACGTGTTCAGGCGCCGCGTGTGGAAGGTCACGGTAGAGGCGTTGCTAGGCAAACGGTGAAAATCTGAACACGGGCGGCCGCACTTGGCGAACGAGGTGCGCTTTTCGTGCCAGCGAAAGCCTTTCAGAATACCGGTGCATGAACCGAAGGTTTTTTGCTCATTTACAAGGAGCATCCCACCTTTTTGTACTTTTCACTCATTGTTACAGCAGACATGTACGACTTGATCACCGATAGAAGCTTTCCTCGAAGCCATTCTGAAAAGTCAGGATTTGAAGTAGCCTCTCCTGCGGGAAAGTTTCATTTGGCCCGCTGCTCACCACTATTAAAGAAAAAGCTTTTATTTACCTTGCTGTTTCCAACGTGCGTGTTCCGTAATGTTTTCAACACACCAATGTGTCAAAAATGCTTGGGTAATAAATGGTACGAAAGCTTGGTGCCCTCTGTTCATACAAACAGATATGGAACGTGAAGCTATCATCCCGCGAATTCAGCAAAGCGATATATTATGGCTTTGATTTCTCCCCTACGGCGTTTACCACAGCGGCCCTTTTCGCGGTGCAGTTAAGCTTTAAGAACGCAGTATCACATAGTACACAGTGATGCACTGGTGCAAACCTCAACCAGTGCGCTTCTCGGTAACAAGATCATAACACCCGATGGGCCAATCACAAACGTTCTTTTATTCGCACCAGTAGATGTACGGAGGGCGGTAGTCAAGACAACGGTATTCGCGACTGCAGGGAGAAGGGCAGTACTGCTACAAAGCGTTGACAGTGTAATGTGGACGCAAAAGTAATTAAAATTGATGTCCTTATTATGTCTTGACGGTGGTGCAGTGGCACGACCCAGTGCTATTCCAAGACGTAACAAGCCCTGAGGTTTCACTAGAGTATGCTTTTGGAACATGTCCCAAGATGGGACATGTTCCAAGCCGGCTAGGCCCTTCAAGCTGGCTAAAAACTGCCCCCCCCCCCCCCACCCCCCACCCATACCCCACAGGTCGATCCCGCCCTCACCTCTGCCGACTGTCATCTGCCCCCACACCTACCGGTTCTCTGCCACACGACGGCGGGGATTGTCTGCACAGTGTACGTCCCCCCCCCCCCCCCCCCCCACAAACACACGTACAAACATGGCAGTGGAAGTGGGGCGCCGCGGCGGGCGCTGATTGGCTGCCATCGACGCCGTGGTCGCATTGTGGTTGCGTTGTTATCTATGTCTGCCGCGCTGCCGTTCGCGGAGGCCGCGCAAACTGAAAGCAGCCCGCTGATTGGCCCACTGTGTCCGCCTCGCTGATTGGCTGATTGGCTCCGTTACAGCAGTGACGTGTTACGTGTGAGCGCATGTGTTGTGAGGTGGAGGTCTGCCAGCGTTTTATAGTTATGAACCAAAGCGATTTGGATGTCAGATATTAATCTCTGCTGGCTGACGCATGGTTTGCATTGTCCGACGTCAATGACCTGACAAGGTCACTGGGCACTGATGACCGATGGAAACCCCCCATCCCGCATCGCGTGCGCACAGGTCGCACCAGGACCCAGGTCCAATCTCACCAGCAAGGACATTCGCTCTCGACCCCACGCCCTCACGAAGCAGGAAACATCCAGCCAACAACAAGCGGCTGTCACGCGCAGACCCTGGCGCGCAGCATGCCGCTTGTGCCATATAGCGGCATGCCATAGAGCGACATGCCATACAGCGACGTACTCCAACGTAATTAAAATGCGCAATGGGCCGGCAACGCACATTGCAGGCAGCTGTTGCATGGAATGAATCTGCACACCATCGGTCCTCAGTGAATCCTCCGCGTTCTGGGGAATCGCCCGGGCCGCACTGCCCATTGGCAGAGTGCCTACCTGAGGTTGCAACCTATGACGTCACAACTGTCTACGTCACACGCAAGCTGCTATTCTCCAAGCCGTGCGGACTGTTGTGAGACACTTATCTCTGACATCATACTTCGACATTTGTGGACGGTACTTGGCGGTGGGATACGAGGTCCTGTGGTCGGGCGGGTCATTCAAACTGAAGACCACGCCGTCGCCCCTGCCAAGGGCGATGCTACCGCCTGCAAAACTCTGACCGAAGACCTGCAGCGTCCAAGTTCCATCCTCCCACGTCCCCAGCGCGGCTGGCGCCTCCTCTCCGATCTGACCTGACCTGACCTGATCTGACTTGATTTGACATAACCTAACCTGAGCTGACCTGACACTATGTAGCGTGGCCTGATACGACCTGACGTGACCTGACATTACCCGATATGGCCTGACCTAGCATGACCTGGTTTGAGCTGACATGACCTGCCGCGACCCGACCCATGGTCCGTACCTGGCTTGGCGCGATGCAGGCTGTCGTACATCAGCTTGTACCACTCGGGCTGGTGCTCCTCCTTGACCGCCTGCGGGCAGGCACGGCACACCCTTCAGCTATCCGGCCAGTGAAGGCACGCCAAGTGCACGCCACATCGACGTCAAGTGCACGCCACATCGCGCATCTTCGTGACCAACTGACAAGCACATTGTTTCGCCCCACCGCTCCATGGGCCCCACGAATCTTCGTGTGGTATTTCGGCAGTTTGGAATCCGTCTTCCGGTGGTTTGTGCCCATTCCACCAACGCCCAATTTGATGACGACAGCGTTGAAATTCTGCAGTCGACGCGGACGATATGGCCGCACATAATGGAATGGTGGCGACATAGTCGCCATCTGCGGCGAGCGGTCCAGCGCCCAAACCCCGTACACACAAACGCAGATACAAATAAACATCAAACTGGATGCCTTCACACTCAAGTGCGATTGCGCCAACGGGGAATGTTTGTTCCGTTGCTAGCATGGAAATGCGAAACAACTGCCCCTGGTTCGCATATCCGCATCGTCAGATGGCGTTTCGCCGCCTCTCGTGAGCAGCGCGCGACAATCCGCGACGGTCACGACGACGTCAGTTGCAGGTGTCACAAGACAACCGAAATGGTTTATGATGCGGATTAAAAATGTGACGTCAAGTATTCGACAGCGTACGTCTACGATTTCGTAGTGCACTTCCGTGCGCTACTTCCGCGCATGGCTACTAATGTCCTTTGTTTCCTGTGCAATAAGTGAGGCGCATGGCACCACGTCATCAGCTGTCCTTTCGTCTCTTAACAACCACCGTCGGGCCGCTGGCAGGGCCCATCGGCATCGCCCCTCCCCTCCTCGTCCCGCCCGCCCCGCGCTGGGCGGCCCGGAGCTCCCAGGCTGATTGTCACATGACCTCCCGGCGGGCGCGGCTACCCCTTCCCTTCCCCCCCCCACCCGCACCGGGGGGGGGGGGGGATCGCGTGCGTCGTGCTCGTATTGTTGCCACCGCACCGACCGCCCCACTGGCGACAGGATGAGACCGGCGGACCGTGGTCAGGCCCGGCCTGACATGGTCTGATCTGGGCAGCGCTCTGCAACGGTTGCCCTGCACGGTCTGGATGGTTAGGGACGCGCTCTTGTGCACTTCAGGACTAATTATGAGGTAGCCTGCGACCATCCAGCCTTAAAGCGTTGCCGCATCCCCTCTAAAATTCCCTGACGCTGATCTCTTTCCCCACAAAACGTACGCGTCTTCATGTTTCCTAATAATTTGTCCTTTGGGTGGACACGGACAAGTCCAACAGACACCTGAGCTATCAACAAGTAATGCTGCCTTTCACCAAAGGGAGCCCCGTTTCCTCCACTGAGCATGACCCCAAAGGCTTCCCTGCTGGTTAGGCCGCCGGAGCCCCAGAGAGTTAGCCGCTATCAGAGCTCGACCAATCGTCCAGGGGACGCGACTCTGCCTTGAGCGCAGCCAGCACCACGCACGACGTCCCAAGCTGCCAGCCGCTCCCAGTGGTCCACTGAATCGCACAAATGATCGACCCCAACAGCAGGTCATTCAGCAGCACTCCCGGGTTGGAAATGACGGCTTTCAACGGGCGGGCGAGACCGGCAACCGTGGTTTTTTAAACGACTCATATCGGTTTATGCGTTCGAGGTTAATGGCGCAGAGTCAGGCTGGCCAGCCCGCAACGCAGCCGGCTTTGGCGGTCGCTTCTGGGACGGACGATGATCGCGGTTGCGTGGAGGATTGGAACGTTTGCATGTTTACGCGGTGTGTGAAAATGGGTCGTTGCATGGAAACAAAAGTCATGGTTTATGACACATGCCCGGAAGCCACCGTGCCGGCCAAATGCGTTCGCAACTTGCAGATAAGCGCAAAAGCCAAAACCGCCTAAATGACATCCCGGAATGACTGGCGGTGAGCCACAGGAGTTCATCTCACCGACTTCAGCGTCACTGGCATGCCCTGGTGGGTCCTGGGTCCAACGCCTTCGATAGGTCGAGGAGCGAGGTCTGCGAACTTGCGCGTTGCGCCGTCCGTCTGGGTCTCGTACTCGCGCTTAATGGTGTACACTGAAACATCGCTTCTGGTGACCACTATGGACGGACGTTGGTGTAACTGAAACATCACGTCTGGTGACATTCGGGCACTGGTGTAACTGAAACATCACGTCTGGTGACGACTCGGCACACTGGTGTAACGGAAACATCACGTCTGGTGACCCCTTGGGACACTGGTGTAACTGAAACACCACGTATGGTGACTACTCGGGACAATGGTGTAACCGAAACACCACGTCTGGTGACCACTCGGCACACTGGTGTAACTGAAACATCACGTCTGGTGACCATTCGGGCGCTGGTGTACACTGAAACACCACGTGTGGTGACTACTCGGCACGCTGGTGTAACTGAAACACCACGTCTGGTGACCACTCGGGCACACTGGTGTAACTGAAATACCACGTCTGGCGACTTCTCGGCACACTGGTGTAACTGAAACACCACGTCTGGTGACCACTCGGGACACTGGTGTACACTGAAACACAGCGCCTTCTGACCACACAGAGCCTTTGTGGATAACACAAAACCACATGTTCGGTATCTACGCAGCAAGTCACGTACACAGACACATCGGCACAAGGCTGACAACAGCAAAAAATCGGGCATCGGATCTGTGATTCGTTTCATGCTTGTTGTCAGTTGTCGTGCCGCAGTGCTGGCTCTTGCATGACTGACTGGAATTCCGTGTTCTGGCGAGGACGAGACGCATCAAGATACAAACTAGTTGTTTTAACGATAGAACATGGTTCTATCAAATGGACCACATTATTGGCCATGCAGATGTTTGGCAGTATAACAGAACCAATTTGGTAGTATAAACAGACCAATTTGGTAGTACAACAGACCAATTTGGTAGTATAACAGACCAATTTGGTAGTATAACAGACCAATTTCGTAGTGTAACAGACCATATGCCGAGGTCGAGCCACACTCCTATGAACAACACGATCCTTACAGAAATCACTTCATGTGAACTGTTATTGCGTATCAACGCGAGCGGACACGACCAAAATGGCGCATGTTAACTAATAAAATGTCGCTGTGACCCACACTTCACAATTAGATGCAGAAGCTCATGATAAGCACGGTTATAAGCACGTTTATGACACTCTTGTCACGAAAATTCTGCAGAAAAACGTAATGCCTTAGTAGTGGATGAAACACCAAGTCTCATGTTCATGCCTGTGTGCCGCAGGGGTCATTGTCAAAGAAAGTAGAAAAAATGATAGCTCACAAAAATTTATGTTCCTCCAGTTTCTTCGACACCAGGAACACATGAAATTCGCATCTCAACAATGCTTAATTTTGGATGAATTAACGGAAAACCTGCGAGATATGACAATTCTGAAAACTGACTAATCTACCGCCTGATCTTAAGTTTAAGCTACCAGTTCCTCGTCAGACATTGCAAATGGTGTGTTTTAGAGCAACGAGAGAGGAAACGAACGGCGCCACCGTCAGACAAATGGCCATTGTCCACCGACGAGCGAAGTAGGGTTAATAAGCCGCGACACAAAACAGTTATATCGAGCGAGTCAAACCTTACCAGATTTCGGGAGAAGCTTGCCTGAAATAAATGTGCAGGGGCGGCTTAGCACTATGACAACGCTGCTGCTCAAGTGCAAGGTCGGAGCGTGGGCACCAAGCATGTTTTTATCGCAGCCGCCCATGAATATAATTTGGCATCCATGCTGAAGCATTGTGTGGTGCCCGATGCAGCGCTGGTACTTCGTAAGTCACAAATTAGTGTGGCCCGAAGTTCTGAGCCTTAGTAGCTGGTAGGCAATGGTAGGCAGACGTGCTGATATCAGTTGAGGGCTGACACATTACCAGCACGTGGTTTAAAGTTTACTATTGCCCATTTCTAGCACCCTGTAAGACAACCATCCGAACCGCACTTTCGCTGGCAAAGTTGCATTCAATTTAACGCAACAATTCTCATATCATCAACTAATTTAGCTCCACCGAGACCACCTCGCAAAAGACGGAGATGGTCGCCAAGCCACGGCGGCATCGGAGTCCCCACAGGGCCGACCGGTCCCCCACCCAGACGCACCCAGTCCCTCCGCTTGCCGCAAATGCCACCAGCTGGCAAGCACCCTGAACATCGCGGGTGGACCATGACGTAGTCCTTGAGTTACGATGACGTCACAGCAGTGGCGGCGGCCAAGAGTTCAGACCACGACGTAAGCTAAATGGCAGCACCCACAGCGATCCGGATCGTGCTTCGCATTGCTGTAACCGACGTCTTGGCGGCAGAGATCCCCGGCCGGTGAGTAAGCGGGCCGGCATTCCAACAGCTCGTCACCTTGCTCATGTTTTCACGCTTTCAGCTCCGGCCAAGTGGAAGTCAAATACACCCTCACCCGCCAGTTCGACTGCCGGTTTGCCCAGATCCCGCCGACCGTAAAACGAGTAAGCGCGCTAGCAACCGACGGCGAACACGTGTCCCCGTCTACTCGCCGCTGTCATCGCCTCGTCGACGAAACCACACGCGAGCGTTCGCCTGGCGGCCGGCGGCAGGCGGCTGAACTTACGCTTCTCGTTGGGGCCGGCAAGCGGCGGTTGTACTGTCCAGCGGCAGGTACTTGGCGCCCCTGGGCAGATGGCCTTCCCTGTTCTGCTGCAGCAGCGTCACGGTAGGATTCTGCAACAGTGCAACGTATCGCGCTCCGTTAGGGGACGTAGCACAGGCGAAGGCAAACTCTGTTTATCATAACAGGCTGGAGGCTGTCATTGCATCGACGGAGCCACCAATCCAGTGATTATATATATATATATATATATATATATATATATATATATATATAGATATATATATAAAGACAAGTGAGAAATATGATCTAGATGTCTGGAGAGAATTCAGTGGTTCCGCGCATATACCTTCTTAGCTATCCCGTCCCATTACACCCAGTGAGCTTTCAGAGAGAAGTTAAGTCAGTAAAAAAGACAAACAAAAGGCAATTAAGCTAGTAATGTAAGTAGAAAAAAGTTCAAACAACTTAACTCGCTGCATTTATCAAAAACACATTATACGCACTGGGTACTTATTGGTTTGACATCCCACCTGCAGCTTCGGAAGGTTCCTGGAGGACGACCGTGGGTCCTGTCTGAAGGAGTCCGGTTCGTGGTTACCGTGGTCACCAACAGATGTCGGGACGGGTGGCTCGGGCGATGTCCATGCGAAGCTTTCCGATGGTGGCGGCGCCGGCTTCAACTCCTGCAATTTTAAACACCGAAAGGACTGTCTGAACCTCGCGTCACGCTTTCGCTACACAGTTCATCTATCAGAAGCGCATTTTGTTTTGATCAAGGTGTTCCGGGTGCCGCGCATAGAAAGCCACTAGCGCTTTTTCCTTCGTGCTTCTCGTGGGTGGTGCTTTTGCGGCCATCCCGGTCTCCAAATACTCATGAGGCTCTCTCACATTAAGCTTGTTGGTATCTAATGTTGCCCCACCCAAAAAAAAACTCTGAGAATATGTTTTGCCCCCCCCCCGAAACATTCCCAGAACTTCATAAAAGTTTCGTCCACTTTCCGTCTGTTTTAACTTTGATGGTGCGGTATCAACATTTATTTCCGCTTCGGACAAAAAACTTCATGAAGAAAAGTTGGCGGCGATTTGAATATCAAAACAAAACGCATGTTGACGTGCCTTAGTCATACTAAGGCGCGTCATACTCGGCGCAGACATCGTGTTTGATAAGTGCACTGGACCTCGGATGCCACACCAGCCAGCTGGCGACGAACGGTTGCCCCCCCCCCCCCCCAAAAAAAAACAACTCCACGCTAGATCCACCCCTGTGTCCCTCCACTGGTCTGTCTGCCTTGCCTTGCCTGGCTCCAGACTGCGATATAATCATGTTTGAAATGAAACAAACTGCTTCCGAAAAATGAGTTAGCGTTTGGTTTTTTGACGGTTGTTTAAATTTGAAAACAAGGTTCACGACTGTCTTGCCCCAGTGTCTACAGATTAGTGTAATGAAGTACAGTCTCTGTCAGCGTACGTGCGTTGCTGGCGTTTCAGGCTTCCGAGTCGTAGGTTCACCGGCCGGAACTCTTTCCGCTGGGTGGAAGGACTCTGAACGACTGAAACAGAGACTGTACGTGAACATTGGCCGCGACAAGGGTGGAAAGTCCGCGTCGGTTCAAGCAGAGACTATTTGTTACATCACGCTGAAACAGAAAATTACGTCACCACCGAATCGGCTGGACCAGAGGCCTACTGTCACTGGCTGAACTGGCAGTGATGGTATTATCGACGGGTAGTTGGTGGGTCGTCACCACTGGCCATAGCGACAGTGCGTCATTGCCAACTGAAAGGGTACGTCACACACGCGGCTGCCTCAGCACTGTGCTCAATACGTCAGACGCTGCTGTCACAGGGAAGTCGCCAGGCGTGAGTCTGCTGGAGACGGTGGTGCATTCATCTTCTCGAGCGAGGACAGCAGTAATAGCCTTATTCCTCGGAGGAAAACCAGGAGAATGAAGATATAGATGGGTTGATGTTTCGGCAACATGCCTCTATCGAGACAATAGCAGAACAATTTCGTCTTCTGCTGTCGTCTCGACAACGGCATGCTGCCGAAATATCAACCCATTTATGTTCCCATTCTCCTGGTTTTTCTCTGAGGAATAAGGCTATTTCTACTGTCTTATCTTGTGAATAGTGTTCCTCGCTGATGCACCGAGCAGCTTACGTAATTTTCGAACGAAGCTTTAACGGTAGCTTTTCTGGGTGGCCAATGCCGACCTAAGAGGATCTAGCACCTGCTGAAGTCAGTTTCCTTCTCCTCCTCAGTAACTACTTTCGTTGCACTCAGAGGACGCTTTTCCTCACTGCATGTTACTACTCATCTCATATGACTGATCTTGCATCCAGAGGACTTCTACTGCCGTTCCAGAGCAATCTTATCGCGTCCCGCCGACGGTCTTTCTCCTCCGAGAGGACTCCTCCTCTCCCCGATGACTTTCCTCATCTCCAGAGAGCACCGTCTCGTTAGAGTCCTCAGAGCCTGACACCACCCGAGTCCTCAGGGCCTGACACCACCCGAGTCCTCAAAGCCTGACACCACCCGAGTCCTCAGAGTCTGACACCACCCGAGTCCTCAGCGACAGGGACAACGCGTTGTGGACTGCGCAGCCAATGTCCGCGCTGGCTGCAGTGGTTGAGGTCGTTGGACGCCGCGCCGAAAATATTACGTCACATAAGGCATTGAAGAGCTTCAAGAGCGACGTGCTTTCGCCGCCGCACGACAGCCGTTCTTGAATATAATTTAGTTGCTATCGTTGGCCCCAAATTATCTTTTTCTAAAGTCGCCAACGCAGACGGATGACGCTAATCCAAACCAAAGCCACAAACTGACGCACATAAGATGTACTTGCCAGTCTGCACTCAGCGAATTCATTTAGCTCTTTCGGTTCAGTTATCCTGGGTACTGCACTGAAGCCGCTTTCAAAAACCATTCAAAAGCCGTCGAAAATGAGGTAGCTAAATTAATACGCATGACCATTTGCAGGTCCCTGCAGGTGGTTCCATGAGGGTCCCGCAGATGTACGATGTGGGGGTGTTGTTTTTCATTCCATTCTGTTGGTGAGTTTCGGGCCACCCTCCAAACTTGGTTCCGTCCCTCCCCTTCTCCCCTCCAAACTCTGGGAAGAAAGTGAGCCAAATCTGGGAAAAAAACCCGTTTCCTGGCGCATTTTGAGGGTACGTTGAACCATTTTTAGCTGTTCAGTTCTCCCCGCCTCCTCCCACCCATTTTGCGAAACCGCGCCCCAATAACCTTTAACCTCAAATGACCTCTAAATCGGCGCCCGGAGGACAGCCCTGGTCATGGGTTAGGACGCTCTGGTCAGTTGTCATAACCCGGACGTGCCAAACGGAGAGATCTGATCCCACGACTTGACCGAGCTGGCCGAAGACACGTTGATCCATATGTTCTACAAGTCACAATCATATTGTCTATGTCGCACAGGAGAGTAGCCTGTAAGCACAGACTGCGTCTGGAGTTTGTTGTTGGTCATGACTGACATTTGCGGCTGCACTGCCGCTACTTTACCGATACTGCTGGTTAGTTGTTTGGATAAGAGCCTTTCACCACAAATGACCATTTCAGGGCTATGGGATGAAGGAAAATGGTTAACGGTGGGGCAGGCTTGCATGCGCTTAGGGGAGAGGGGGGGGGGGGGGGCAACCGTCGGGCTTGAACCCGCGCATGCGCGCTAGGTACCCGGTCGGGGTGCCCCTTCCCACGGGCCTCCCGGCCCACTCGTGGCTGACGCACGCAGCCTGTCCCGGACGAACGGGATGTCACGAGGAAGCACAATGAAGCAAGATAGAGGATAAGAGGGGCGGATGATGGACCCTGCTGAATTTCGCTCCCCTTGAATAGCTACGTCTGAAGAACAGTTTGGAGAAGTAGCGCAACATGAGGGACGGCCCCGGGGCCGGGGCAGCCTGATCCCTTCTTACGCCCGGATTTTTCGGTTTTTCACCATATGGGGCTCTCGACAGAAAGTAAAAATTGGTGTGATGCGTACTCACCGATCGTTGCCCCCCCCCCCCCCCCTCCTCCCTCCCCGCCTCCCTTAAGATGGTCCTGGCTGCGCCACTGGCCTGCGCCCTTGGTAGCCTCCTCGCGCTACTTCTTATTCTTTAACCCGATTTGTGAGCAGCCTGCGTGTTTCACTGTTCCCATATCTGCGGTTAGGTGGCGTGGTGGTTAAAAAGCGAGTGTGAGAAACCAGAGACCGATCCGCGCGGTGTCAACCTTTCCTGCCAGGGTGAGAGGCAGGCTACACCATATTGTCACAGCTGCTGGGTGCGTCGTAAACCCGCAATGACAACAGCAACAGCCGTGATATGTGCAACGATGCAGGGTTCCTCAAGGGACCACCGGCGCATGCGGCGTCAACAATGGAATTCCCCAGGCCTACAAGCGATCGGACCACATCAGGCCACAATGATAATGACCGAAAAACAATAAAACCTCAAAGATATGACGGAAAATGATGACGCTAATCACCCCGGCGGGTATTCAATTGGGTTTCGCCAGTTGTGGCCATTGAGGACGTATGAGATGAACGAAAGTGGATGGCGGCGGGGCAAAAATAAGATATTTTGAACCCTGGAACCGTCCCAGCGCATGCACGTGCTCGAAATTTTGACATAATGCGAAGAAAAGATCGTTAGAAACACATAAAAAAGATGCCAACACTTATTCCACATACTTTCGGAGAGACCAGGGAAAAAAACAGACAGAGCCGGGCGAAGAGGAGGCGGAAGCGATTCGCACCCGCTTCGAACAGAATCAAATAAGAAAAAACTGATTCTCCGTAGCAGCTTAGATAAAGTATTATAGCGCCACTAATCACGCTCAGCATGATTGGCGTTATTCGGCACGCTAAGCACGCCTGGCAACAAGCTCAAAGCGTTTCGGATTCGGTGCCTCGAGTTGCGCTCAGCGCGGGACGACCAGGAAGTGATTACCTCCTGGGTTCCCCATGCCAAACGCTGCACGCAAGTTGCAACCTACGACGTCACAGTCAGGTGCGGCACAACAGTTCCCACGGCTTGGAGTATAGCCGTTAGTATATGACGTAGATGCTTGTGACGTCATAGGTAGCATTTCACGTGGGTACTTTGCTAGCGGGGAACGCTGCGCTGGACTACCGCACAGAGGCGGACCCAGGCACGCTTTCAGGGACGACACACGTACGCGAGAACAACAGCACTGGTCCACCTTTGCCCGGACGGCTCACGCACACCCGTGGACGTCACCACGCCGTTCACCACCTGAATCACCTTGCCACATCCCCTGGCGGCGCGGGGGGTCACTGACGAGGCCCTCCACCGCTGCCCCGGCCGCCGGCAGTGGCGCAGCAGCGACCGCCTCGGGGAGGACTTTGCTTGAAGCGCGCGAGCCCGAATATATCGGCACAAAGCAGGAATCGGTGTGCAGTGAACAAGGAATGAACCAGCATTAACCAGTGTTAACCAGTATGAACCAGTAAAGCGCCGTGCGGCCGCCAATCCAAAGCGCGGGGGTCCGCTCAGGGAGAGCGCCTGGCGTCGGCGCTGCGACGGAGGGCGTAAGTTCCCGATAAACACGCTCGCCGAGGCCATGGGCAAACTGGCAACGTGACGCGGCACCAACGCCGCGCTATCTAAACTGGACTGTGCCGCCCCGCGATGTAAAGCTGACAACTGCACGAGATAGCTGGGGGATTTGATTACGAGCTGTGTGGTTGCGGAAAGACTGACTGGGTGTATATTGACGCGTTTTTGGATAATGATAATCTTGCTGAGAATGACTGGGTGCATACTGACGCGTTTTCGGAGAGTGATAGTCTTGCTGAGCATGCGAGTGCTGGTGCTTATGGCCACATGGGTTGCATTTCAAATGCAGGAAGGAATTGACATAATTAAGCGCGACGCCCATTATGGTCAGCATGTAACGTCTTGTTGTCTGATAAGCACTGCACTGGCGACACAGCGCTTGGCAGTCCAAGGAAATCAGTTCGATGAGAACAAAGTAAGGAAAAGTTAACCTAGAAGCAAGTGATGCTATTGTTCGATCTTGCGTGAACACAATGCCCTGCCTTGCTTGACCTCGTGTAAGGATGATGCGCTTGCTTGAAATTTGTTGGTAATATGAGGATTACATAGTCCCATTCAGGAGTACAACCATAGGTTCAGCTGTTGAGCCGGGTGTCCCTCCCTTCGCTCCGATGTGAGGACACTAACTATTCCTCATTTCGACTTCAGTGGTAGAAACAGGGACACAGGGCACGAGCTTTCCGCGGCGACGGCCGCAATCGCGTCGAGGACCCGGTAGGAGACGATTGTAGGAAACCCCCCGCGACGGGCGCTCCCCGCGCAGGGACCCCCCCTTGGGGTTTGGGGTTTCCTCTTTGGGGTTTTGTGCGGGGTCCGGTGAGATCCCGCCCGGGCGGTTCTCACGCTCGCTGGTTCTTACGTTCTTACTTTCTAACGCGTCTGACGGGCGCTGCTTGCCCTGGTGAAACGGGCCAGCATTGCGAGAATGAAGGACGAGGAAATGTTGCAAGAACGAAGGAGGGAGAAACGTTGCCAGAACGAAGCAGGGAGTTGGGACTGGAAGGCGGTTCTTGCATGCCGTGATCCCAAACAGTATGCCGGTGCCGGATTGATGAGATTGATGCAATGGTGACGTGGGTCATTGATGATTGACGTGGGTCATTGATGACTGATTTGGGTCAATCGGCAATCAGATGAACGCAAAAGTGTTTTGAAAGCAAACAGCGCGACAAAGTCAAACACACCAAGGCAGTCAGAAGAACAACCCACTACGAACCCAGATGGCCAAAAGAACGAGAGAACAGCTCATCAGCAGTGACCGGGACATACGATTCCGGTACCGTAGCTCCGATCACGCCGACACCAATGCCGCACCGTGTTGACACGCGGCGGCACCGAGCGATGAGGCTCACACACTCAACCCGACGGTGACGCTGGTATGTGACCTGACCTTTGGGGGTCCAGACGGGTTCTGACGGCGGCGACGGAGGCGCTCTTGACTTTGCGGCGTCACTCAAAATTTGGCCGCCAGATGTCACCGGTGCGGACGAGGAGCCTGGGCGCCACTTGCCTGAAGGTGAGGGATTTGAAAATTAAAAAGTCATGTCGCGCGTATCTGCTCTGGTTGCTTATGACCAAGGATGAACACTCCGCTCGTTGCCAGGCTAACGTTGTCAGCAAGAGGAAGGGTTGATGAGTGATCAAAAGCGTCATGACCGATTTAGCAGCAGCTTCCTTCTTTCAAAATCAACGGTTTTCTTCGCTTGTGGAGTGCTTCCTTTTGTATTACTGAAGGCTTGGAAGCATCGCACCTACCTGTCCGCGCAGGTGAAGTGCTAAACGGCAAACAACCACATTGATATAGAACTTCTATCTTTCATTACGCCTCCTCTCATTGAATGTAGTGAAAACCAAAAACCACGCTACTGGAAAGCGTTCCTTAATACTGAGGCGTTCTTTGCAAGTCATTGTAATGATAAGTGGATAAGAGGGTGTTCAACATGCTCTGCTGCACACAGGATGACCTAGGACCAGACAGGCAAGAGCGCTTGCTGGCGTCCTGGCCACACCCCCCGCCTAATCATCAACAGGCCTTATGAAGTTGAGGCCTATTCACACCATCAAACAATGCTGATCTTGCATTATCACTACGTACTGGTTGCATCCCGTCTTGTGTCAATCCAAGCCGTTCCCGACTGCATTCAAGCGGCTGCACGCCGTTCCCGACTGCAATCCAGCCGTTCCCGACTGTTCCCGACTGCGAATATCCCACCCGAGCACCTTCTCGGGATCGCCAGACGCATCACAGGCGTGAAAAGTTCGGCATCAGGCAGTCACTACCGTGCTCAACATGTCGCTGCGAGGACACTGGAGCCTGATCTACGCTACACCTGCGGACAGCGCGGCGCCCGCGTCACGTTTCATGGTGACCCGCGCCGCCAGTTGAACACCACCGGGCTGCTGACAACCGAACGTGTCCCCACGCCGCATGCCGACTTCCAAGAGCGCGAGCCAACTACACCGCCGGTAGCGCGCGGCTTCTACGGCCGCCCGCCTCGCGTCATCCGCTCGGCCGCGCCACGCTCGTCGCCCGCGTGGCGCAGCAGCACAACCCACGGCACGGTCTGAAGCAGAGATCGGCCTCGGCGCCAATCATCGCCGCCGCTAGGCCTGCCGGGGGCTGCCGCGCCGCCTTACCTGAGTGCGGGGATTTCGCCGTGAACTGGGGCAAAATCAGAGTCGAGTCTGAAATCGGCATGGTCTGGTCAGGTGGGCTGCCTCGTCGGCTGAGCGTCGCACTGATGGGCCGCGAGGCTACACTGTCCGACCTTTTCGCGCTCACCGCACAGCTCACTGACTGTCGGTCAGGCGCGGTGAGTCACGCAGCTCGCCCCTGCACGACATTACCCCGCCGACAAGGCAGTCGGGGTTGAGTTTCCCGCCCGCGACGCGCAGGAGTCGAGACACGCCCCACTGCACGCGGCCACGTCTGTCAGGCGGCTGGGCGGCAGACGTCAGGCGAGCTTCCTGGCGCTTCGAGGGTCCGCAGCAGTTAACAGAAGAGGCGCCTCCGGCATTCTGCACGCGCGCTGCGCACCGGATGTCAGGTTTGATTGGATGACGGCTTCGTCGGCGGACTCGATCAGAGGACCTCGATACACTACAAAGCGCACAGACGTTGCAGACCGTTCGTCGAAATTCGTAGTTTCTTCCGGAAGCGGAGGGGCCCCGCAAGTCACGCGCGTGCCGAGCGGCCGCCCACGCAGAAACTCCCGGCCGACGAGGCAGCGACGTCGGGCAGTCACGTGCGCGCGCGGCCCAACGCAGCGCAGCGGGTGCGTCACAAACGGACCGCCAGCCTGCGGCGGACGGCTCGCGCCGAAATACACACAAACGGAACGGTTTTAGCTCCGCGTCAACACGTCTGACGCATGCCCAGGGGGCGTAGTCAGCGGCGACAGTCGAAAGGCGTGACAGACGACAGCCACCTCCGCAGGAAGCTCGGCTATGCTAATCAAGAATAACACACAACGTTTCGCCCTTTTCATGGAACTGCGAAATCTGGGAAGGGTTTAAGCCCGAGCAATTTGCTTTCAGTTAAATGCACACAAATGTGCAGCATGCACCTGAGATTCAAATGGCATCCTCCTTTTTGCCAAACGCCTATCTTTTCGTCGGGGTGTAGCTTCACATTCGTTTGGAGGGACTCCAGCCAACTTTGCTGTCGGCCTCTCCCTCCCCCAAATTGGAAAGGGAAGTAAGTTAAATTCGCGCAGAAATAGAGGCGGACTGCGTGGATAATGGGAGGACTTTCAGTCATTTCGCCTGGCTCAGCCAACTAAGCCCGCTCTAAATGATTTTACAAAACTGCATACCTGCTGCACGCTGCAATAATTCGACGAAGTTTGACTTAAGCGTGGCCCCCTTCAAGGTCATTGCTAAGAGGCAGTCCCTTTTTCATAATGGCACCGCATTCTTCCAGCGTTATGGCAGAAGGCAAAGCGCATGTCTGGCAATACTTAATGGGTTGGAAATTAGGGTAGTTCCAAAGTTGTGTCGGGAAATCAGAATCTTCCGCTTGTTCCATGTGCAAAACGAACTGGGGGTAACTTATTTTGGTACGTTTAGTCCCTTAACGATACACTGCCCAATTGCTCAGATCTTATTGCTCATTCTGGATATCATGATCAGTTACGTCTAGATGCTCGATATTCATTTTCGCTCTCTCCACCGTCCTGTTTGGCTCTTTCAAACCGTACTTTATGAACCGGGGTATTCCTTCAGCCTCCCGGTTCACATGGTGAATGCGTCAGGGTTCCCGAATCAGAAATCAAAATCGTTGAGACAAGGTGGATATGCTCGGAATGAGCCCGGCAGATCCACCGATCAGTACGAGCGGACGCAGAAAACCAGGTCATGCTCTGTTCTGAAGATTGTCAGGGATTTTACTGCATGAGGAAGCGCAACATCCATCATCCAGACCACGCAATCTAGTAATCTTTAAAAACCTAGACGCGACTAATCGGACATCACAGAGGTCTTTTGTAGCAACACAACTAGAACGAATGAACTCAACTCCCTGGACGGTGCCCCCCCCCCCCCCCCTGTAAGTGTCAGGCGTTGTCACTGGCGAAAACGCAGGGGTATGGGGTGAGGGTGCTGTCCCCGCCTACCTCTCCTAAAAATAAGACGTGCTAAGCTAACGTGACCGAAGGCCCATCCGCTTTGAAGGGAGGGGGGGGGGGGGGGGTGGGGGGGGGGTCCGACGCCCCTGTTATCAAATTCCCTGATTTCCTAAACTGGTGTGGGCCTGCGTCGGGGGTCCGCGCGAACAGCTCCCACGCCCTGACGCGGGTTTCCAGTTCCAGTATTCCCTTCCCCCAGAAGGCCTTCTCTGGCGCCCCGCAGTGGCGGAGCCTCAGCTGGCTGGCAACGGATTCGCACAGGAAAAACATCACGCACAACGGCAGCCGTAGTTTTTGGGCAATTGTTGAAGCAACACATGTCAGCGCTGACAGGTTTCGTCTGAAGGTTTGCAGGCCTTCCTAAATTACGGGCGGCACTTGGTCATAATTGATCACCGCTCGGCAAATATATTTTGACAGGGAAGGCAGCTATCTTTACGGGCGCCAGTAATCCCGCTGGCACTGGTCTCGGGCGAAAGGAAGCCGCCTGTCCGCGGCACGAGCCGTTTTAATGCCACCGTAGTCCAAACAAATCAGCTGGATCGCTGTGCATTCAGCGGTGGTTTGGGTTCGAGGAGAAAAACGGCAAAGAAAACACGGAAAGGCCGTGATGTGCGCCTAACATAATTCCCAAAGAACGCAGCCCTCAGAAAGAAAGCATGGCGGTATAGGAAAGTGTCCAGTCTTAAGCAAGCCTCGGCAACATTTTGAAGCTTGAAGAATTAGCTTTTTGCAATCGGACGCACACTTCGAGCCCCAACAAATCATGATCATCAACAGAAGCATAACCCTATTCGCACAGTCGTATATCATGCTATGCTCTCATCCCTCGCTCCCTCTCTCTCGCTCTCTTTCTCTTCCCTCCCGGCTCTGCTCAGCTATTTGCGGTGTCCGGCCAAATCTGACCCTGAGCGAGCCGCAGGAATATCAGAGGAGGGGTGTCGATATTTTGGGACGACACGCTGCTGGCTGCCAGGGCACGTCTGCCGAACGGGCCTACCTCAGGTGAGAGCGGCTCGGAAATCATGGCTTGGAAAGCTTGCGGCCGAGAGTGATGGATTTCTCTAATGCTGTTTCCTGACGACGAAAGTAAGTTCCTGACTTTCCACAAAAGTTTAGTGAGGGCACCGAGGTGATGTAGGGAAAACAAAACTTGCGCTGAGATGAAGTAGGGAAAAGGAAAATAATTGATTGATTTGGTCCGCCCCATTCTCCACTTTTGGCGAATGCGGCAGACTGATTGTTCTCCACCATTGCTTGCCTAGATAAGACAGTAGTAACAGCCTTATTCCTCGGAGAAAAAGCGGGAGAATGGAGCTATAGGATGCATTGATAATTCGGTAACATGCCTTTGTTGAAACGAATAGCAGGAGAGTACGGATCCGTATCTCCGTTCTCCTGTTATTTTTTTCTCCGGGGAATAACGCCGTTATTACTGCTTTATCTATGTGAATGATGTTCCTCACAAATACACTCAACAACTTACGCAATGTTTTCCCTCCTGATTCGACTGGCGGCTAGATACCACTTGAACTTAACCAACCAACATGACCAACCAGCTTGAAGTAAGTAAAACCAACTTGACCAACTTGACTAAGTCTTGACTTGACTAAGACCAACTTGAAGTCAGTCTAAGCAGGCAAGTCTCACAAAAAGGCGGCATTCCGACAGTGATTTGCATCGATTTCGCAATAGCTCTCACTCTTTAGTAAGCATGTCAACCCTGCCTTAGCATATACGCCATGCAGTTAAGCAAGTACTCATCAGTTAATGTGGCCACTAGCAATGCTCGCTCACGTTTTGCAATACTGAGTCGAAGGTCACCCCCGCGAGGTCTTCGTCGATCCCGTTACAGTTGCCGAATTTGAAATAAAGTCGCTGGCGAACAAGCGCGGAGTTTTAGTCACTTTCGGTGTTTCAGTGCCCACGTGTTTGACAGCGTCGCTAGACGACTTCGTCTCGCCCGTGACTAATCCTGGCGGTCATCGGGCGTCACACGCCGCGCTTGGCGCGTCGCGTCGTTTTTGTCTCGTTGACCCTGATGAGCGGTGTCGATGGCTCGCCGGCCGCCGAAAAAGAGTCGATCGGGCGTATTTTTACGCTGCTGTCGGCTCGTTAGCGTTCCCGTGTCGGCCAGGGCGTCGACACTAACGCCCATTCGGGAGGTGACGCGCGTGCTTGAAACGCCTCACTGGCTTTTACATTGCGAACAAGCGTCGAAATGCGGAACAGTGCCGGGCTGACGCGGGTATAAAGCAGCGGTGCACCTGCGAGCGTGGGAATTTTCAAGCGGACTCCGCGGATTCTGCATGTTGCGATCAACCTCTGAATGTTGTGAATTGCAGGATCCAGTAAGCACAGACGTGATTTTAGGGTCAAGAATGCCGTCCGGAAATCAGGCGACACTGCTAGGCTCTATATCTCACGTTATAAAACATCCGGGAACGCTTCGCGTCAGCTGTGCCATTCGTCGTTCATGTCTTGTGTTCCTTTTTATGAGCGTATGCCTCTTATCTCAACGCCTACGGTTTTATATTGCTTTAACTTTTAATCCGCTAATGTAAAGCAAGGCTGAGTGCTCAACGTGTCCTCAGCACGCAAGCCAGCATCCAATGATGAACGCAAGTAGGGAAATTATTGATATATGACGCCTGTCTACCCTTATTATGATTATCATCAGCCATCAATATTTTGAAGGAGCCGGAGCGATCAATGACGTTTAATAAAATGGCGCAATTGCAAAGGTTAGGATTTCGAGATTCATAAAATATGATCAAGCTAAAAGATATAGGCAAAAAAAGAACAGTGCAAAGCACGCGCGCAACAGATCGGTGTGAGGTATGCATGGAGCAGAACGGTGAGAGCGTGCAACGTATCTGGCACCTTCACATGAATGAGAAGGAAGGCCAGGCCGTAAAAAACTGCGAAGCACGACGTGCTGTTCAGACTAAGTGGTGTGAAAGGCACCCGTTGCCGCGGGTCACTGGCGATGCCAAATACCCAGCATCTGCAAGGCATCACGATTGTTTGAAGAAAGATGCTAATCGTAATCATAATCATAATCATATAATCGACCGCCACCAGACACATTTAAGCTATGAAATGCGTGCTTTAATTGGGCCGACCGCTATAGAGCATCGACTGGTATCTGGCCCGAGGGGTCGGTCCACGGGGGGGGGGACGAGTACCGTATCGCCGCTCGACAGGGCACAAATATACCCAGTGGTGTCTTCACTGGCTGGCAAGACGGAAGGCAAAACTATCCGTTAAACTAGAGCCACAGCTACGTTGAGGGGGAGGTAGGCCGCAGTTTACAAAGCCCTGTTACGCTCACACTGTCTGCCTTTGGCTTGACGGTAGCCTGGCGCCAACATCTGTACGAGCCTAGGCGTCATGCATTTCGTCGAATCAAGCATTCGATACGCCAGACAAGCCGCCATCTCCCACCGCAGCGGACAGCAGAGCGGAAGGGATCGCGTCGTGCCGCGACAATAAACAATGTGTCTTCCCGCCGCCAACCACCTGGCGAGCCTGCGACAAACTGCGCCAGGGGGTCCGAATGGACAAACGGCACGTGCGCGACACGCCGACACCACTGCCAGAGACTGTCTGTCGTCTGCTAGAGACTGTCCCGCAGACGATAGGGTATATCGGCGGCGATAAGATGTGACAACCCGACGCGCGGTGAGCGTGAGTCATCTCCCAGATGATAACAGCCATCGTGAAACGTCCCTCACATTTTATTCATAACTCGCGTTTAGTGTGCGAGAATACAGCCGGAGCCCTCGTCAGCAGAAGCATCTTTGCCAATAGTTGCCGGTGGGTGAAAGCCGGCACCGAATGCTTGGGTATACCGGTACTTAAATCGTTTGCTTTTCGCTCAGCTTTCATTCACCAATGATCGCAGTGTGATTTTAAGTCATACACCTTGAACCCGTAATATATGTTCTAAGTGAAGTTAGCTGATATACAAATCAACCCTCTCAAATACTGAACTAGCCAATGGAGACAGTATCAACACAGGTGTAGCATTTCCCTCCCTCCAAATGGCCAATTGCAAATGGTGAGATGAGGGGAATCAACCCTCATTATGTAAACTCGTTTGCACTTTTTTCGTCCGAGAATTCTATTTTTAGGTCAGGCATTTTTCTGTACGCCAGCTTCATTAACTCACGCACTGGTTCTCTCCCCTTTCTTCAGAGACGTGGCGTTACTCATGGCTGTGAGGACAGTGTCCTATGGACCAAACTAGCATCTGTGCTTTATGACATCGATCAAATAGCCCATCTGACGTACCAGTAGTCGTGGAAGCACGAGAAAGAACGGTCTGTGCTGGACCGCCATCCCAATCCTGCAACAAGCCGAATGCCACTAGCTGCCCATAACCCAGCGGCTACTTACGCAGTGCCTCGGGCGCTTCACGTGGGTGCCGGGCCGCGCGGCCAGCCGTCCGCGCAGTCGCCGCACGATTCAGCGCCAGGTGGGCGCACCGCGCGGCAGCGGCACAACCGGGATCCGCTGAGCGGAGGATCACGGCCCGATCATCACGTGACCGGAAGCCATGACGGTTGAATGGCCGGCGGCGCATTGTCCGCTGCCGGTCGACCGCAGTGGGATGCCACGCCGGCGCGAGTCTGTCATCTGGGTCAGCAGCGCCCGGCGGACAGGTCGTGCAGGTCACGTCGCGCGCAGGAGACGCGCTCAGGCGGCAATGTATGGGGGGATTCCGGCAGGCGGGCCGAGTTTAGCTGGACAAGTCAAGCTACCCTGGCTTAGTCTGATCCATTTTGTGGGTTGGGTTTGCAAGTGTACCATTGACACCATGTTTGTGTGGGCCGAAGCTCATGCTTAAATAGCATGCAGCGGTAGCCTACGAGCACGTGGCCGCTACCTCGGTTGGATGTTCCTAGGACAATTGATGCCCCACTCCAGAGACCATGAATGGCCGAAATTGGCCCTCGACTTCGACATCGAAACCCCCAGAGTGAGCAGATCTGGGGTTCCGCCCGTTACGCGACACCAAAAACCTAAGCAGGGTCCTAGCTAGCCTCCTCGCTTTGTAGACACATCAAAATATCTAATGTTGCCGCCTCGCCTGGCAAAACTGAGCGCGCTCCTGCGGCGGGGTTCGCAGATACTCGCCACGCCAATTTATCAAAATAGTTGAACTGTGGCGTGCACAAAACGCGGGCCGATTCATGGTTTAGCAATGGTGACGAGCGGCATTCTGCTTGCCCGTGGGCGGCTGCCACAGGCGCCGTGAGTTATTGTGCCACTAATGGGCATGCTGGTACGTAAAGCGCAGTTTCCCACGGTTTACCGCACGTTTCCGGGCACACATCACCACAACACGCTCTGAATAGCGCGCTAAATGCTCTCGGTCGCATCGCTTCAGACCTGAGCTGTCATCGTTGACTTCTTCTCCGACGACTACTTCTACATCGACTACTCCGCAACAGTAACGATGATGATAAAGGTTTCCCAATGCGCGATGATAACATGCGGCAGAATCCGCTACCGCTACCCCCCGCCTGAGTCCAGTGTTGCGTGCAACAAACGTCACGCGATGAGACCGGAAATTGTGAAGTCCGCACCACCGCCTGGACAGCTCTCGGCTGCTGTTCTGTATCTCGGGACTCGCAGGTTCTCGCCGTGCGACGCCTCGCTTCTGAGCTCCGCGCATCTCTCCAGGGAGATGCAACGAGCTCCGCGCATCCTCTCCAGTGCACGGAGCTCAGATAGACAGTGGGCGTCGACCCCGGCTGTCTGGGGTCACGTGCCGGCGCCAGTCGCGCGCAGTGGCAGGCGCGCGCGCAGGGCCCCCGGCTGTCTGGGGTCACGCCATCATACGACCTGCCGGCGCCAGTCGGCGCGCAGTGGTAGGCGCGCTCCCAGGTCCCCTGCTGTCGGGGGGTCACGCCTCACACGACCTGCCGGCGCCAGTCGCGCGCAGTGGGCAGGCGCGCTCCCAGGACCCCTGCTGTCGGGGGTCACGCCTCACACGACCTGCCGGCGCCAGTCGCGCGCAGTGGCAGGCGCGCGCCCAGGACCGGGAACAGGGGTGCGTCACGGGACCATTCTTAGTATCATAGACTATCCCACCCGGTTGAGATGCTTACTTTTAAACATTCTGAACTCAGGCTACTCGGTGCGCTGGTGTCAGGGTCTAAAGACTTGCACCATGCGCAGGGGCGTGGCTTCACAGAACGGGTGGTGGGGGGGGGGGGGGACTGAACCGGTGACGAATGAATCGATCTACCTGCTCACAAGCAGGTTTCTCCCCAGATTTGGTCCACTTCATTCCTAAGGATGGGGGATGGAAGCCTAACCAAAGCGTGATAGGAAGGATGATGGCTTTGGACAGCGTGACGTTGCACGCAGATGTAGTTCCAGACCACAAAGAAACATTTTAAAAAAACGCTCGAACAGTCTGGCCAAGTGGGGTAGGGGTGCCATGTTATATACTTACTGGAGCTGAGCGTCCTCCTTCCCCCAAAAAACTGAGAGTTCCTCAATGTTCTTCTGAGTCCCCCAATGCATATGAGCAAAAAGGGGAAGTTTATTTGGTCACCAAAATGTTTCAGTAGCTGAACTGCTTGTGTACCAGTAGTCGAAACTCTTCAGTATCAATAGTTTTCAATCATACATTATTAGAGCTATGATGCAGACTTCAAATGGGGACCCATTCCCGACCATCAAAGCAATTTTGGAGCCGACCGATCTTGTAAAACTACGAACGAAAATCAAAGTGACCGAAGTCCGGGAGAATCAGGATTTGGGGCAAATTAGGCATCTTTAACGGCTTAGCAGCACCCCCCCCCCCCCACCCCCCACCACCTCCACCGATTTTACAAAGCGACACCCCCGCAGGTAGATCTCACTAAGCGGACCAGTGCGTAAGCAGGGGTAGCGGGGCCAAGAAGACACCTAATGCGCAACGCAATACATGGCCGACTCCGGCGGTCTTGGAGGCGCCTGGCCGCCTGTTCCCGCAGCAACGGTTAGGCCGCATTCATCTTGCGGCACGTGCAAACTCTGTCAGGGCTCTTCCGCGACGCGGAAAAACTCGTGATGGCCTTGCATAATAAATGAACCGCAAGCCGGCACGCCGCGCCCAGACGACTAATGATCAGCTCCTGATTTGTCAAGCTGCCCGCGACGTCGGGTCAGCAGGGCACGCATTTCGGCCGGCGCGCTGGCTTCGCGCCAAAACGGTCGTGGTGGCGCGCCCTGTCGACGGCGCGCCAAGAAACACCCTGCGCGAGGCGCGTGCCAACAATATCACCGTCCGATCTCCGAGGCATCAGGTGGGCAACGCATCAGAACGACACGTGTTATGTCGATTTTTTTATTGATTTTGTTGGGCGTAGGCCAGCACCACCTCTGGAGTGATGGATATTGCGATCACCCGAACCCCGAGCAGTTTTACTTTAGAGCCTGAGGCGAAGTTGGCTATGTTCTTATCATGTATACGCGGGTGTCTCCTCACTCAGTCTGTCAGAAAACGACCACCTTGCAACGGTCGCACTGCTTCTCGATCGGCCGCAGCAACCTGTGTATTGCTATGACAGCCGCGCGCCGCAATCCTCCCCTCCCCCCCCCACCCCCCCGGGGGCACAGCTCTGTCGCCACGCCAGGCGTGGCTCGCGAACAGAGCCGCCCCAGTTTGCGGTCGAGACCCGCGGGGGTCCCGCGGGTCGGAGCCGGCGCCTTCAAAGCCATCGTCAGGCACAGCAGAGACCGGCCCTGGCCGCACCGGCGCGGTGGCAGGGGGGCCCCAGGCGTCTAGATGGGGGGGGGGGGTGCGGAAATTGGTCTGAGGTCGTGGACGGAAAACAATTATTGCATGAAAGTAGCTGGGCACAGTTTGAAAGAGAAAAACGTCGCCTAATATCCTACTTATCCTGCAAATAGTCATATTCATCTACTTGTCCAACCGCTTTAAGTACACAACGCATGACCCTAGCGGTGAGTGCAAACTTTTCATGCAAGACGGTTGTCGCTTGCGCCAGCACGGTGCACCCCAGCCCAACGTAGCATTCCATACCTAATTTAAGGTCTTGCCATAATAACTCCTGGTTGGAAAGACATTGCTCAACGGCTCGGCCGCGCATTTTACGCTGCTGGGTCATGTATATGCGTGATTCATAACGTCGCTGCGCGAAGACCTTAACGTGAAGTGCTCGGAGACTCATTTCAAGCCTTAACATGTCTAGACTCCAGCTGGGCTGCCCGCTTCGCCCCGCTTTAAACCATCGTCATGCCGTTTTGGCAGCGGCGTCAGGGCCAGACCTTATGTCATCGTACTCCTGTCGTTAAAGACTAGGAACGCGTCACGTATCAAACGCAGAATACCGGTCGTGTAATGGTTAAGATGCAGACCTGGGAAAGTAGAGGCACAGGGTTTTAAGTGCCGGACGTGGGCGCTGTTTCGACGCAGGGGGTGAAAGGTAGGCGACGGCCGTGTAACCCTCAGCAACTGAGGTCGTCTTAACGTGAAGCCCCAATGATCACAAGCTAACAAGCGTCAAACTCAGCTGGTCATAGGAAAAGATGGGATGCAGTGAAATAGAGGTTTAAACACTGACCGACAGTACATGCGCATGATTAGAGAGTCTGGCTGCTGTGTGTCATGGTGTTCGGTTTTTGGGTGCACACTGTCCCAGCTTAAGTTTGCTTGCAGACTTACGGCCGGCCTTGTTATTTCGCTTGTGGATGATTTTTCACTGTTTTTTCCTCAATCTCGCACGCCCCGCGGTAAAAACCACTAGCACTACATCTTTTCTCCAAGACGTGGGACATTCCCTTAAAAAAATCCAAAATTATCCGCCATGCTTGTTTTCGTTGAAGCGTTCCGGCAATGTCATAACGTCCCGATGGAAAATTAGCAGCCGGCTATCTCGGCACGCAATGGAGAATCCCAAAACAACCACTTCTCGAGAGGCATTTGCACTGCAACCACGGGCAACCTGCGGTGATCGCAGACCTCGGCCCAGAAAGGGTCAGCCGCGGTCGATATTCCGAACCCGGCCCTTCTGCCTTGCGCCAAAGCCCAGTTGTCCCGAACAGCCGGTACTTCACCGTCCTGCTGCAAGCAGTACTTGACGTCGTCCGCGATGGCTTCGCTGATACCGTCGGCCGTGCCCTCGATACTGAAGCTGACGGGCCCGGCTCCTGCTTCTGCTCCTGCTCCTGCTCCTGCTCCCGTGGGTCCCAGTCGGCGCCGTACTTGTCCTTGCGCTCCTGCACGCGGCCCATGAACTCCTGACGGACCTGCCGACAGGAGCACCTGGTCCAGGTCTTGGTTCTGGTGCTGGTGCTGGTGCTGGTCCTGGTCCTGGTGCTGAAGCTGGGTGGGCCCCTGAAGGTCCTGAGACCACAGGCGCATGTTCGTGCAGTCTGGATACGCCAGACGAGAGACGGGGCGGGAGTGGAGAGCGAGAACGGCGGGGTGTCGGTGACGACGGGGTGAGCATGTTAGAGAACGGCGGTGTGACGGTGAGGACGGGGTGAACATGTGAGAGAGAGAGAGAGAGAGAGAGAGAGAGAGAGAGAGAGAGAGAGAGAGAGAGAGAGAGAGAGAGGAGGAGAGAGAGAGAGAGAGAAGAGAGAGAGAGAGAGAGAGAAGAGAGAGAGAGAGAGAGAGAGAGAGAGAGGAGAGAGAGAGAGAGTAGAGCGAGAGAGAGAGAGAGGAGAGAGAGAGAGAGAGAGAGAGAGAGAGAGAAGGAGGAGAGATAGAGAGGAGAGAGAGAGAGAGAGAGAGGAGAGAGAGAGAGAGAGAGAGAGAGAGAGAGAGAGAGAGAGAGAGAGAGAGAGAGAGAGAAGGAGAGAGAGAGAGAGAGAGAGAGAGAGAGCGAGAGAGAGAGAGAGAGAGAAAGAGAGAGAGAGAGAGAGAGAGAGAGAGAGAGAGAGAGCGAGAGAGAGAGAGAGAGAGAGAGAGAGAGAAGAGAGAGAGAGAGCGAGAGAGAGAAGAGAGAGAGAGGAGAGAGAGAGAGAGAAGAGAGAGAGAGAGAGATAGAAGAGAGAGAGAGAGAGAGAGAGAGAGAGAGAGAGAGAGAGAGAGAGAGAGAGAGAGGAGAGAGAGAGAGAGAGAGAGAGAGAGAGAGAGAGAGAGAAGAGAGAGAGAGAGAGAGAGGAAGAGATGAACGATGGTGTGACGGTGACGGGGAACATGTGAGAGAACGGCGGAGTGACGGTGAGCACGGCGTGAGCATGTGAAAGCGCCAGTCGGCGGCATTGCTGAATGTTGAATATCGTTCTAAATTTGGCATTCAATTCAGCTAGTGGCAGGTATCTAAGGCTCATGATGTCAATAGCATTAGGTTTACTTTTTTAGGGCTCTCTGCCCAGTTTATATATGTCTCTGGCCTTCCTTAACCTTGTTTTCATAGAGACAGTACAGGTGAGAAATTGCATTCGGGTGATATCTTCGCACACATGCACACGTCAATACGACGAGAGTGCGTTAAATGTTGCATGCATCAGGGGCCGGCACGACACCTACATTTAGCCATTTCTCACAACTTTGGAGTTACAAGGTAATGATAGATGATCCAATTAATAAGCGCATTCAAACAGCGGAGGCGGTAGCAAGGGCACGTTCCCTCGTCAAACATTTTACACGGATTCATAGACCTGTTGATAAATACAATCGACAAATCGAGATAGATACTCAAAATAAACATGCTGAAGAAACGTGACGTTTGTATACGCCTTATGGAGTCTCGCGTGCCACGTGTAAAAATACTTTTGTCACCGTTCTGACCTGCTCGACGACCCCGAAGTCACGTGGTTCTGCTGGGAGCTCGCGCTTCGGCTTGTTCAGCCTCAGGGATCCGTTTGCCTTCCGGTCCAAACGCTCCACCAGCTTTTCCTGGAGACACGGCCGTCATGTGCCTCAAGAAGGCAACGGAAACACGTGGCCCATGACCCGCGATAAGAGGTGCTGTTGCTGCTGCAATTGGGGGATTGGGGGATCCAGCTGGTATTTGGAACCCAACATTGCTTTTTTTTAATAAAGGCATGAGCCGTGTATTGTATGGACAAAAATGGGGAGAAATGCTTTTTTGAGAAACTTGTGAGACATTTCCCCTGCCCCCTAGCATTTACATCTCGAATATTTCAAGACCCAACATCTCAATTACATTCCAGAGCCATACCGTCCCCTGCACTCCTTATCGAGAAGGACCACGCTGTCTTTGTCCAGAAACCACAGCCACCACATCATCGTCACATTCTCGTGTGCATTTTTGTCGATCTCCCCTTCACAAACACCCCCTCCCCCTCCCCCGCGACCTCCGACCTGGTACTCGTTGTAAATCTGTTCGGCGACGGCCGGCTCGTCGCTGGGCGGCTGCGCTCGCCGACAGCGCATGCGCGGAGCGTAGGACAGGCTGCCCCCGGGCGGTAGGAATGGGTCAGTCCGGCCCTGGTGCTGGTACCTGCGACGATAGGCGCACGCGTTATGCTACTGGATAAGGGTGATGCTGCGATGCCATGCTAGCCCATCTTTGTATGGTATTAACCGAGGTGGTAATGCGTCGGACCGTCCGTTAATAATGTTACGCGTTTTGCGACGTCCTCAGCCGCTCTACCACCTGGTTACGCACTGATTACGCTGCGTGAGCTCTCCCACCTGCAGTTCTGCGCTAAGTGAAGCGCCCAAAGAGGTTACGAGGTCCGCTTAGCCTGCAATGAAGCTGGAGGTGCGAGAGAAAGCAACACTGTTGTTTTCTGTTCGCTGTTCAGCGCTGTTCGATTTTTCTGAGTTGCATAATGCACATCTTTAGAAACGCCGTGCATGTTTAGTCCACAATCTCAAGCACTGCCATAATAAATTCCACCGATCTGGCCGCGCAGCTACAACTTCAACGGTTCGATGTTGTTCGTCGATGTATGAGGTAGACATATGGCGGAAGCCGGGCGCAGTACACGTATCTCTCGGCGAAAATAAAATGTTGATCACATACATATCGCAATTCACAGACACTCTTCACGTTCGGGGCATATCAGAAAAGAAGAAAACACTATTAGACCGCCTACGCTGAATGCTGGCAAGCTATTTGCCTGCCAAAACTGCTGGACGTGTCGTGCTTGCGGGACAGCAGAAACTCGATCGGGTTGCGTCATGTTTGCATGACGTCACATCCAACCAATCAATGGCCGGTAATGGCTGTTAGCCGGTGTCGGCGTTTCGTGCTTGGCCATAGGACGCTTTTCTTTCGCTACGTGGTACGGTATGTAATGGGCCCGAACACAATCGCCATTCCAGCTCAGAAGTAGATGAAGACCTGCTTAAAATACTGTCTTAAAGATTCGCTTTGAGAGTGTTTCTCGGTGTTCAGTATGGCCATCTGATCTCAAACTACGCACAAAAGTGAAAACTTCCTAAACTTTCACAGCAATAACATAACTGCTCACGCAAGCTGCCGTTACCTTGTGGTTTGGTCCCGGCTCCCGGGCTGAAACAGGACAGCTTCGATGAAATTTACCAAATGGTTTCAAACTAGCTCACATTCACATGCCCGTGGTCGCTGGTTGGGATAAGACGAGCATTCATGCATATTTAAATATGGGTTGGCGAAGGGAGACAAATCTTGCATTGCGGTGCAAGCTAAGAGTCGGCACCACGCATAAACCGCTTCCGTCGCATGGACACGAGAAGCCAGGGCCCACTTCTACCATGGCTGGTAAAGCGTGCATCTATGCATGTCATGCCACGTGATCTACGTCAGGCTACCCAGGAGGCTCACATATCTACGCGACGTGTCAGCTAGACCGAACTCTGCCTTAATATCCCTCGTGCGAGCTCTACGCGCGGCCACTTCAAGCCGACGGCCTCTAGACCGGCTCCAGCCGCGACATCCCCCCCCCCTTCCCTTTACCCCCCCCCCCCCGGCGGCGGCACGCACCTGGTCACGTGACTGGAGCGGTAGGGCGGCGTCCGGTCGTAGTCGTACGTGTGCGTGGTGACCAGCTCCGCGTGACTGGGCCGACACAGGTCCAGCAGTGACCTCGAGCGCGCCGGCGGCGGCCCCGCGCCGGGCTCGCCGCGGCCGCGCCGCCGGCGCCGCTCCATCAGCCCCAGCAGCGCGTCCTCGAAGAACGCCTCCTTCATCTCCTGGTCGAGCAGGCGGGTCAGGTTGGGGTTGGGCGGGGCGTCGGCGGCGCGCGCCGGCCCCCCCAGTCGCTCAGGTCCCACACAGACTGGCAGCGCGAGGCCGGCCTGCCGCCGCCGCCGCCGCCGCCGTCCAGCCAGCGGCGCAGCAGGTGGGTGCGCAGCCGGCGCTCGCTCAGCGCGTCAGTCAGGTCATCCAGGTCGGCGTCCCAGTCCGGTAGGCGCTCGCGACTGCGCGACGACTCGCGGCTGCGGCGTCGAACGAAAGCCTCCGGGTACCAGTACCTGGAGCAGGCACCGCGGTCAGAGGTACCAGTACCTGGAGCAGGCGCCGCGGTCAGAGGTACCAGTACCTGAAGTACGGCGCTGGGAGAGGCTTACCACGGCGTACAGGGCACGGACTATCGGCATCAGTGAGGAAAAACTGTCCATTTGTCCCTTTACTGAAATTGCGGCGGTGATACTGACGAATCTGAGGCGGGTGATGGGTAACCTGATCACGTTGGTTACAGTTGGTAACCACCTCCGGCCGTGACATGAGGGTTTCCTCCCGCTGTCTACTCCCAGAACGCATCTCTTCACGCACGACTTGAGAACAGTGAACTGTGTATGAGCACACAACAGCAACCTCTCATTCCGCCTGACCTGAGCGTGACAGTTTCTGACCAGAGTGTGACTGTCTCTGACCTGAGTGTGACAGTCTGACCCGAGTGTAACAGTCTCTGACCTGAGCGCGATAGACTCTGACCTGAGTGTGTCGTTCTCTGACTTGAGCGACAGTCTCTGACCTGAGCATGACAGTCTCTGACCTCAGCGTGACAGGCTCTGACCTGAGCGTGACAGGCCTGACCTGAGCGTGTCGCATATGCCTGACCTGAGTGTCAGTCTCTGACCTGAGCGTGACAGTCTCTGACTTGAGCGTGGCGGGCTCTGACCAGATCGTGACAGTCTTGACCTGAGCGTGTCAGCTTCTGACCTGAGCGTGTCAACGCAGTCCTCCGGCTCCTGGGAGCGAACGCTGTGCGTGCTGGCCCAGCGGCCGCGCCTCCAGCCGCCGTCTTCGGTGTAGTCCCACACGCTCTCAGGCCTCTCCAGTTCCGGGGCCTCGGCAGGCTGCGCCAGCCCCGGCACCGAGTTGGAGCGCGGCCGGGGCTCGGACCGGCCCAGCGAGCCGCGCCGCTCCGGTGGCGGCGGGCGGCGGAGGAGGGCCGGCCGTCGCTGGAGCCTGCCAGACGGCCGGCGGCGGCGGCGGCGAGCCGGCCGGCTGGCGGCAGCGGCGAGGCGGCTCGGGCGGGGCGACCGCCGCCGGCGGAAGCGCTTCGCGCGGGGCTGGAGGCTCCGGCGGCGCCGGCTGCGAGCGGTGTCTCTTCCTGGACGCCGCCGGGCTTCTCCAGGGCGCAGTGTCAGCCGTGACCTCGGCGCCCGCGGTGACGGGGGCGCCCGTCCGCGCATCATCGCGTCCGCCAGCGACGGGACGGCCCTGGCGGCCCTGGTCAGCCGCTGCAGTTGACGCTGCTCCTCGACGCCGGCGGCGGCGTCTGCGGGACGCGGCGGCGCCGGCGCGCCGCCACCTCGGCCAGGTTCTTCTGGATGTCGCGAAGCACGTCGCCGCCGCTGTCCTGCCCGCTGCCGGATGACGTGACCGAGTCCTCCCCGGACGCGCGCGCCGCCCACCTGGACGCGGCAGATGGGTGAGGTGGCCAGCGGCGCCCCAGGAGCGGGCTGCTGCGCGAGCGCGTCGCTCGACAGTGTTAGCACGGTGTGGTGGCGCGTACCTTCATGTAAAGCGTGCCGCTCTGCTCGGTGTCCTCCGTCGCGTCGCCCGGCGCAGCCGCCGGCACGATGGCGTTGCTCTCCGACGCGAGCGTCCTGGTAACGACGCGGACGACTTGACGGACGAGAGAAAGGTGCTCTTCACGCCCTGCACGTGCCCCGGCTCGATCTCCATGCGATGCCGTCCCGCGCGGACGTACGATCGACGTCTGCCGGCGTCGTCAGCCCGTCGCCGGCCAGGCTGTGCCTCCGCCGCGTCACCGGCGGCGAGCGACGCTCCTCGTCGGTGTCGACGGGCTCTTCGCCCGACTCGAAGCGGCGCACGAGCCGCGCCAGGCGGCCGCCGGAGCTCAGAGACCTGCGCACCGGCAGCGGGCCGACGCTCGCCCGGCGCCCGTCCGGCGGCGGCGGACTCCGGACTCTGAC